GTCCCTACAATATCCGCCATTGTGTCACCTGTCCTTCCGCGAAATTCATGGGGGCTCTGGGAAGTCGTTTGTTTTCTAGGTATGTAACATAGTTATCCCTAAAACCTACACATTATGCAGGTCTTCTTATTAGCTGAAAGAATGACCCATACAATCAGATTGTCGAATTGCAAACATCTTACATTCCCGAGCATATAAATACCAGATCCTGATCGATTTTAACTTCATTTTCAATCGAGAAATAATATCTGTTCAACTATAACTGCTTAACTACGTTGTGATTCGGTTCAATTATCATGCTATGCAGAAATTGTTGCAATTCGCTATCGAAGACGGGTCACAACAATGTTATTGAACAAACGTTCCGTGTGAGTCATCATGTGCGGAAAAAATTTTCTGAAGAAATTGGAAATGAACTTCTCATTGCTGAAATCGAGGAAGAAGGAGAATGTTAATCTTCAATCTAAAGGAGCCGCAAATTGCCTCCTGCATTTGTATAAGGAAATGTCAGATCAGCTGGAGATACTAGCTAACTTCAGTGATTCGGGGCATTCCGATTATTCAGATGATAGATGTGAGAAAGAGGACCAAGCTGTACTCCATCAACTGAATAAATCCTTACCAGTATTAGGACAATTTCCCCTTCCAACAAACTGGTTTGGCCGAAGCATTGCCGAGAAGACCAAAATAATGAACTCTTTAAAGAAATCACTATCAACAAAATTCGGATCTAAATGTTTCACCAATAATGCGAATGAAACAGTTGGGAAAATGAAAAACAAAATAGAAACTGCCACATCTGCTAGAGAGAGGATTCATCTATTAACATTTCTTTCTAAGCCATGATCCATCTCTAAACTTCATACAACATTCAACGTGACCTCTTACACACCACGGCGAGTTTGTTGGCTTCATCAACAATATGGATTTGGAACTAGCCTATCTAAAACCACCCGCATATCTTCCATAAGTAATACTACAGAATAATTAGTACAGACATTTTATCGCTGTGATTATATTAGTCGTATAATGCCAGGAAAAAAAGATTTTCTCTCGGCAAAAAATGGTGGAACTCGACAACATGTCCAAAAAGTTTGATTTCATTGAACTTGAAAGAAGTTTACCCGGCTTTTAAAGAAGAATTTGCATCAGATAGAATAGATTTTCTCAAATTTGCTCAATTCCGACCTCGAGAATGAGTGTTAGCAGGAGAGAATGGAACTTATACAGTACTCGTATGTAAAATTCATCAAAATTTCAAACTAAGTTACTATACTTTCCCAAAGCATTATTCCGAAGTGATGAAATCATTTGCTTGGAACCGAGTGCAAAGTGTCATCTGGGAGATTCTTCAAAATGTCCCAGGGCAGAAAGCATATTTCTTCATTTAGAAGAGATTTGTGATGTAAAGTCAATAAAATTTACCGGAAAATTGAAATTGTTGAAAAATACAAAGAAATAAAAATGAAAGCCAAGTCAGGAATGTCAAATAAATGGTTATAGGGCACGATCAAATGTCTATAAAAAATAGTTCTAAATAAAAAAAGGATTTTTTAAAAATTCTCCACAAAATAAGAAATCAGTAGGAACAGGACCAACATCGATGGCGCAGATCAGTAGATGGAAGATTGGATTGATATAGACAGTCAGTAGAAAAAATCCACGCCAAGAACGTTGGTCCTGCTCCTATTGATTTCTTATATTGTAAAGAATTTTTTAAAAACCCTTTTTTTATTTAGAACTATTTTTTTTATAGATATCTGATCCTGTCCTATACCCATTTATTTAACATTTCTAACTTGGCTTTCGTTTTTATCTGTGTATTTTGCAAAAATTTGAATTTTCCAGTAAAAACTAAACGAAACTTTTTCTTGGCGCAGTTTTTTTACAAAAATATTTGTTTTTGTTTTTTTGGGGAGATTGCACTAATTTTTTCAAATTAAGCGCAGAATTATTTGCATATCATAAAGTAGTTGTTCTTTTCGATTCAACTCATTTGTTTTTTCGCAAGATAGAACATCCCTCAATTGTTAATTGAACGACAACAAACCGTTCTACTCCATATTCATTGTTTTTACCGACTATTGATCATTTATTCAGATTTTAGATTTAGTTTCCTTCTCTTGTAGTTTTTGGTAAGATGAATTAATTTCCCTTCAAAAACAACCGAACAAAATGTTCGGATATAAAGATTTTGTAAAAATGGTGACTTGATAGATATTTTTATAAAAACATTTGTTTTTGTTTTTTATTTTGAACATATCACTTCCAGAGGTTGTTGAAATAAATACAAGTGTCTTCTTGTTCCTCGCACCTCACCGTAGCCTAATTCAGACCATTGTCCCCACGAAAGTGAACACTGTCGTCACTAAAATTTAATTATCCACGGATATTTGATTGTTTATCAGACATTTTTTGGCAAAGAGCTGTTCTGCTAGATTCCAAACATAGACCACAATTTCTGTTTTCATCTCCGAGGTCGGAGTATATATATTAGAGTGGCCCACGAAATATATATTTCCCAATTTCACTCTTCTCCTATTTCAAAACGATAGTTCATGATATGAAGAAGCGATCTAAATTTTTTCAAATTTTTAAAATGCTTCTAACAGGCCTCAACAGCATTTCAAAATTTAAGAAAATATTTGACCCACTGGCAGTTCATAGTTGAGTAGTTTTGCGAAAAGTCAAATGATTTTATGACGGTCTTCTCAGAGGTCACAAGTGTCCACCTAAGACCGTGTGCTAGCCTTAGGCCATAAATCATAGGTCGTCCGTCCGCCCAACCATGGGGAGTGAGGCATTTGAGAATCTTTTCATTTGCCCAAAAATAATTTAAATGAATTTTAAAATTTTGTTTTCAAATCTAGGAATAATTTTTACAATTCAGACTGACAAATATGCATAAAAAAGGAAAATTCAGTAGCGAAGTGGTCAATCGGTTTAAGTCAATTTTTGTCCAGCCCTAGTTTTTTGATAATATCTCAGAATCTAAGCTAGATAGTAGAATTTTGATGAAAACCGTGTTCGGAATACAGCCTAAATCTCCATAATGATCACGGTCGACTAACCCGGCCATCTCCGAAAATCTCCGTGAACTTTCGGGTCAACGGACACAGGTCAGCGCGGCACCCGGAAGACTCAGTAGTCAGTAGTGTAGAAGTATCGTTACGATAATGATCTAAAGTATTCAGTCAAACAGTATTCTAAATTTAATATCTTCGTTCAGTACATCAACTTGTTGATTAAGTTCAGTGTAATTTCAGTGACTCAACGAGATGAAGTGAACAGACAATTATCAGTGAAAATTAGACATTCAACATTAATTATACCAAAGAGTGTACGGCAATAGTGACAAGTGGTTCGATCCCACGAAAATATATTGAGATTTTTTATCACACGCCTACCGTAATTTTCCCATCTCCCTCCACATTTTCATCCCACATCCATCCTAAAACTAGTTCCTCACCAAACAGTGGTCCTTCNCAGTACATCAACTTGTTGATTAAGTTCAGTAATTTCAGTGACTCAACGAGATAAAGTGAAAGACAATTATCAGTGAAAATTAGACATTCAACATTAATTATACCAAAGAGTGTACGGCAATAGTGACAAGTGGTTCGATCCCACGAAAATATATTGAGATTTTTTATCACACGCCTACCGTAATTTTCCCATCTCCCTCCACATTTTCATCCCACATCCATCCTAAAACTAGTTCCTCACCAAACAGTGGTCCTTCGAGCCGGATTGTGGGTGAAAACGTGTGTAAAGTGCAGTGAAAATTTAAGGGACGCCTCGTGTCGAAAAAACATTCGGGGTTCACACGGGCGAGTCAACGGAAACTTCCAGAACATTCGACTTGTTTACACCCGCAAGGGCGTCGGGGTAACAAAGGACAAAGTGAGAGTGACAGTGTCGGAATTCGGCAAGGTTCNGTGAAAATTTAAGGGACGCCTCGTGTCGAAAAAACATTCGGGGTTCACACGGGCAAGTCAACGGAAACTTCCAGAACATTCGACTTGTTTACACCCGCAAGGGCGTCGGGGTAACAAAGGACAAAGTGAGAGTGACAGTGTCGGAATTCGGCAAGGTTCGGGAGTGACGAGTGACGCCGAAGCCCACCAACGGTTGGCCACGTGCGCCACGCAACAGGCGACTGACCTAACTCGGCGGTCGGTAACTCACCTAACTCGGCGGTCAGTAACTCACCCAACTCGGCGGTCGATAACTCACCCAACTCAGCGGTCGGTAACTCACCCAATTCAACAGCCGATAACTCACCTAAACCGTCAATTTAGCACAGATAATCACCATGGCAGACGACACTAAGGTCAATGAACCCAAAGAAGAAAATCAACACCCAGTGAGCGAAAGTGAGGAAAGCGAGCAAGTCTCACAAGAAGAGAAACTGCCAACAAGAAATGAGACAGTTACAACGAAGCCAATCATCACTCCTGAGGAAACCAACAACCCAAGTGGAGCGTCAGGATCAAAGGAGCCCGCTCAACAAAAATCAACGCCTGCAGCTTCAAGAACAGCACTCACCATGCAACAGGAAGGTCAATTAAGACTACTAACGTTCAAAGTAGAGACTCTGATGGAGATATATCATGACCTCCCGCAGGACGCTGAAACCGAAGAGGACCTCACCCTAGAAGAACTAGACGGGCACAAGGGGATAATTGAGGCAGAATGGAGTGAGTATTTTCAAATTTATGCCAATCTAGCCGAGTTTCTTTCCCCTGATCACGAGTATGTGAACGAAATGATCCATGAACGAGCTACCAGGACAAGACGACAAGCCCTGATGCTCATTGCTCGGCTGAAGGGTCAACTGGCAAGGAAGAAGGATTCAATTAGCAGCTCAACAGATCAAAGTNACCCTAGAAGAACTAGACGGGCACAAGGGGATAATTGAGGCAGAATGGAGTGAGTATTTTCAAATTTATGCCAATCTAGCCGAGTTTCTTTCCCCTGATCACGAGTATGTGAACGAAATGATCCATGAACGAGCTACCAGGACAAGACGACAAGCCCTGATGCTCATTGCTCGGCTGAAGGGTCAACTGGCAAGGAAGAAGGATTCAATTAGCAGCTCAACAGATCAAAGTCAGGCAAATCAGCTGAAGCGTCTTGACATCAAGCCATTCGATGGGAAACCGGAGGAATGGAAGGCGTTCAGTGACCTTTTCTTGTCACTGGTGGGAAATGTCACGTCAATTCCACCAGTACAGAAATTGGTGAGACTTAAGGGATGCCTGAGAGGTCCTACAGCAGCTCTCCTCTCTACCTTTCAGGCCAAGGATGAAAACTACGAAAAGGCTTGGCAGAAACTCACCAGGAAGTACGAGGACCCTAGACTCGTCGCTCTGTCGCTATTCAACAGAATCCTGACGCTGCCGAAAATCACCCAAGCAACAGAAGAGAACCTCAGCGCCAACGGAGCAGCAGCATTGGAGACCCTCGATCAATTACAAGACGTGACGGGGCTAACGACAGACAGCATGGCTCAACAGCTGATAGCCCATTTACTTAGTAGATCTTTTGATGCAGAGACACTCAAGCAGTGGGAACTAAAGCTGGGAGACTCAAAGGATTTCCCGAGCCTTAAGGAGTTCGTGGCATTCATCGAGGCCTACGGCAGAGGGATCAACGCAGGTGCCAAGCTGCTATCATCAAAGGAAATCAACGCAGCCACGAAGAAGTCAGCTCCAACAAAGAAAAGGAGCACCTATGCAGCAGCAACTCACCAGCAGGAAATTAAGGAGCCAGAACGACAACTTCCAAGGAACTGCTGTGCCTACTGTCAGGACAAGCAANAGCCCATTTACTTAGTAGATCTTTTGATGCAGAGACACTCAAGCAGTGGGAACTAAAGCTGGGAGACTCAAAGGATTTCCCGAGCCTTAAGGAGTTCGTGGCATTCATCGAGGCCTACGGCAGAGGGATCAACGCAGGTGCCAAGCTGCTATCATCAAAGGAAATCAACGCAGCCACGAAGAAGTCAGCTCCAACAAAGAAAAGGAGCACCTATGCAGCAGCAACTCACCAGCAGGAAATTAAGGAGCCAGAACGACAACTTCCAAGGAACTGCTGTGCCTACTGTCAGGACAAGCAATTTATCGCATCCTGCCAGAAGTTCATCGAGCTCACCCCAGCGAAGAGAAACGACGTCGTTATCAACAAGGGGCTGTGCTTGAACTGGTTGGGGCCACACACGAAGGCCAAGTGCACGTCGGACAAGAAGTGCCACAAATGTAGCAGATTTCACCACACTCTTATCCATGGAGGGAGTTCATGGACGATGAACCCGCCTCCAGCCCGACGCACTCAAGCTGAACCCGTCCAGACTACTGGCACATCCAGGCAGCAAGAGGATCACGGGAACAGTGAGTGAATGAATTCAATCGCAATAGCACACTCACCATCTCATTGATCATTCCTCAACATTAGAATCCAGTACATTCCCACCAGTAGCAGTGAACTTCAACAACAAAATGATCAATGAGAAAGCAGAGAACATCAACCACGAAACTCACCAAGGAGAAGCAGATCAATAGTCAGTGCTGTTGGCAACAGCATGAGTGAAAGTAATATCACCGAGAGGATTCACGACAAAAGCCAGAGCACTCATCGACCAGGGTTCAGAAGTATCGTTTATCTCCGAACAATTAGTTAATTAACTGCATTTACAGAGAAGAGCATCAACAGTGGAGCTAGTGGGAATTGGTGGAATTAATTCAGGATACACCAGAGGAATAGTTTCCGTCACTCTACAATCGAACAGTGGGACTCATCAACTGCAACTCAACGCCCACATTCTAAAGAAGCTCACCGCAATAATTCCGTCATTTTCATGCTCAT